TGTTTCCCGGGGCATTTAATGAAATACGGGGACATTCCAGGGATTGAATTTGTCCGGGGACAGATTTGCAAATCCAGGGACTGTCCCCAGGAAACGGGGATGTCTGGTAACCAAAGCCTACTGTCGTATTGCTTGGCATGTCGAAAAATACGGGCATCTTTTCAGCATTACTGATTGGTGTAATGGGTATGAGTGATGCTGCCGCATTTTGATGACGTACCGCTGGAAATTAGTCCGTATCTCCTCAAAATGTTCTGGCAGTCTCTGTGCTAATGCAGTGCTTCGTCAAAGAGCGAGACCATTTCTCCGCATAAACCGACAGCACCAACTAATACTTACCTGGAATACCCTCTGCTGTATGTTTACAGTCCTTGCAATTTCCAAGGCCTTCAGTTGGATTACATCTCATGAAATAGACATCCCGACTTTTCTCGTATCTTGCACGTAGGAAAGAACCTTAGCTTTGAGTTCCAGATATTTGCCACGTTTTGGTCCTCTGAAGGATTTTCTCGTTGAAAACACATAAACATATTCCCCTTTCCAAATCCTCTCCTTCGTAGCTGGGAAATGAAAACCCAGTGGGGCTGATGGCTCTGAAAATGGGATGGCATCCCTCTAAATTGCACCCAATGGATCAGGGTGGGGCAGCACTGATAATGTGGACTTGCCTGCTCCCCTTCCTGTCTCCCCATAGCTGGTGAATGTTACTGAATGAAGGGGTGGCACCACAGCTTCTGCTGATGAGGGTGACTCGGTCACATCCACACCTCCAGTACCCCATACCTGATTAGTTTCCCTTGTGGGTGCACCTCCACCACTAAACCCCCTTGAACTCTGCTCAGTTTTGCAAGTGTGACTTGATTTCTAGCAATCCGCCACCAGAAAGCACCTTGTCAAGGCAGGCTAAAGCAGCACCTTTATAACCAGAAATTGCTTTTTTTCCTTACTTACCATTTATGGGCTCCAAGCTGCTGCATTTTTCCATAATCAAACCCAGCAAATGATCCAATGCAATATAATATTTTGAACAGATAAGCAAGAATAGGAGAGAAAGTAAACAAAATAAATAATATGAAATGCCTAAACCAGGGGTCCTCAAACTTTTTAAACAGGGGGCCGATTCACTGTCCCTCAGACACTGTTGGGGGCCGGACTATAGTTTGAAAAAAACATGAATGGTCAGCGCTCATATATATACTGCAGCATTATTAAAAATCCACAACAAAAAATAGTCTTTAGGTTTAGATAGCAGACTGTCACCCTGGTTCTGCCCCACTCCACCCTTTTAAAATTTACTAAGAATTTCACTCAAAGAACTTCTCCCTAAATGAGCTTAGGAAAGAAGTGTGAAGTTAACGCAGAGACTGGGAACCGCGCAGCCCATTCCTTTTGGGTTGAATTTACTCCCAAAGGCAAACAGCTAAGGACCCAATTCTAAAGCCCTGAGCATGCCCTCTTGCACTCCAGAGACGAGCTGTTTTCTCACGAGTAACCCTATTCAAAAGAGGAGCAGCTCAAGAGGCAGGGGAATTGTAGATTGCAACTTGGACCTGTTTGTACTGCTGCAGTTCCCTAACCAAGGAGCTGCCCTTCATTACTGGGAATCCTCTTTTTAAAAATCCCCATATTGAAGATCTCTTGGGAAATGAGACAAGGCCTGGGTGACGCCACTGAGCCGACTCAACATGGCTCTATCTGCCTCCCTGGCTCAGCGTTTCAGTCAGTGGCGTAGCAAGGTCAGGTGGTACCGGGTGCAGAAAATTCCTTGTCACCCCCCCCATTGAAATTTTATTTTATTTGCCTACAAAAATGGTTTGACTTTATTTCATATTCTCTTACAAAGGAACGTGGATTCTGGGCCTCTGATAACAAGTAGGCGACTGGACAGATACTTAAATCTACAGGATGGATTGTGTTTTGGCTTGTTATTTTATTTATATTGATTGTTTATTTATTTAATAAAATTTATTTTTAAAAAACCAACCTGCAAAGTGGTTTACAAAAACAAAGGAACACCATAGCAGTAAAATCAAGAAAAATTAACAACTCTACTTTAAAACATACAAAAGCTAAAATACTAAAACAGATTAATATTACTTCAACTTCCTAAGCATCTGGATATGCTTGCCTAAACAATGCTTTTAGCAGGTGTCTGAAAAGAGTATAGCAAAGGCACGTGCTTTATTGGAATAGGCTGGGAGTGCAGGTGCTGCCACACTTAACAATGCAGTACAGACATTATGTGAAACCTGTAATAGTGTTTGAAACTACTGAAGGGAAGGTTTTATTTATTGTGATTTCACCATGCTCTGTATTATCTGAAAAAGAAAACATTTATTTAAAAAGCAGGACTGCACAGCAGCAATCTACTTGCCCGAGAGTCTCATAATGATCAGTTGGACTTATTCCTGAGTTGACGGTACATAAGACTGGCTGCAATCCTATGCACCCCTTGCATCCAACTTGTACTTAAAAATCTGCACAAACCTGCACCAGAGAATTGTAGAGTTGGAAGGGACCCCTGAGGGTCATTTAGCCAACCCTCTGGGGCAATGCAGGAATCTCAACTAGACCATCCCTGACCAATGGCCATCCAGCCTCTGTTTAAGACCTCCAAGGAAGGAGAAGCCACCTCCTCCCGAGGGAGTTCTTTCCACTGTCGAACAGCTCTGCCTGCTAGAAAGCTCTTCCTGATGTTTTCACAGCTCAGGGGAGGCTTGGGAGTCATGGGCGGTGGGCCATTGCCCCGCGCTCCTGGGCTGCTTCCCCCCTTCCTACACCACTGCAATGTGGAGCATCTTTCAGTGCTGCTAGGCCAAGCCACTAGCCAGAGACTGGGCTGGATCTGCTCTAGAATCCGACATCTTAAAATTATCTCAAGACCAATATTCTCAAAAGAAGCTTAACCAGCATTTGTCACCAAAGTCATGTTGACTCTCTCACCTCAAAAATGGTGGAATGGACCCTAAGTTGCCATCAGCAATGATTTACATAACAGCTTTTAAGTATATTTTGGGTTTTATGTTTTGAATTGGATTGATATTTTATATATTTTTTTAAAGAAAATCTGACACACACACACACAGACAGATGAATATTCTTGCTAAGCCTAGCAATACCAAAAAATGGTTGCTGGAGATTTGGGCAGTGCTTTTTTTCAGCTGGAACTTGCCAGAATTCAGTTTCAGTCCCTCTCAGGTGGGTAGCATTGCCATTATAAGAGAAAAAGGGAGGCGTCAAGGTGAGTTCTGAGCAGTGCTTTTTTTCTGGGAAAAAGATGGGGAAACTTACCATGAGATGATAGATAGATAAAGGTAGATATTGATTGATTCTGGGCCCAGTTGTAGTGGCACAAACCCACACTCCAGGCAGTGGCTAAATATAAGATGTGATTAATAAACACAAGCAGACAATGATCTGGGTAAGAAATGCCAACAACTTTATTGATTAGAGATACAGGTGGATTTTTGCCTTGGGCATTGAGTGTATATCTGTTCCATACAATATACAGGGTGTCTTTTAAAAGAGGCCCCATGGAACATGTGTACTCTGTATCCACGGGGCCTCTTTTAAAGGACTCATTCTATATATAACTTACTTTTTTAAAGGTAAACCCTGCCCCCCCTTCCTAGTAAACATGGCTAGGCTTGCACTGTGACTTCAGATGCCTAAGACTCACCCTTCACTAGCTGTTTGGTCCCCTGCTTCTTCCACCTTCACTCAGGATGGCAGTTTCAGTTGTCTTGAATCCACAAGAGCCAACACACACACACACACACACACACACACGGGCTACTTCAGTCTTAGTGCCTCCCCCATTTTTCTTTCTTCACTGCCTCCCTGGTTTGCTTTCCCCACTTCCTATCTTCTTTGCAAAACTTACAATCCTAGATTGACTTACATGGCAGCAAGTCCCACTGAAGTGAATGGGATTCACTTCTGAATAGATTTGGTGAGGGTTGAGGTCCTGTCAGAAGCTCCCCCTCCATCCTATCCCATCTATCCTATCCAGTGTTTTGCCTCAAGCCTTGACAGAGCTCTCTCCCATTTTTGAGGCAATCCTAACTTTTGAAAGTGTGTATTTTTTTGCCCAAGGAGCCACTTTAAAGAGGAAATAGGAAGCATCCTAGCAGTGCAGAAAAACTGTTTTGCTGTCTTGAGAGGTCAAGGAAGAGAGAAAGAGAGATAGAAAGCTGAGGGCAGAGTTGGAAGCGGAGTTTGAGACTACTACTGTGAGATTATCACAGAATCACAGATTTGGAAGAGACCTCAGAGGGTCATCTAGTCCAACCCCCTGCAATGGAGGTACCTCAACTCAAGCAGCCTCAAGTTAAGAGAGCATAAGGCAGCCAGTTAAATCTTCCCACTCCATTAACCCCTACTGCAACACAGAGTAAAGGTAAAGGGACCCCTGACCATTAGGTCCAGTCGCGGACGACTCTGGGGTTGCGGCGCTCATCTCGCTTTACTGGCCAAGGGAGCCAGCGTACAGCTTCTGGGTCATGTGGCCAGCATGACTAAGCCGCTTCTGGCGAACCAGAGCAGCGCACGGAAATGCCGTTTACCTTCCCGCCGGAGCGGTACCTATTTATCTACTTGCACTTCAATGTGCTTTCGAACTGCTAGGTTGGCAGGAGCAGGGACCGAGCAATGGGAGCTCACCCCATTGCGAGGATTTGAACCACCTACCTTCTGATCGGCAAGCCCTAAGCTTTGTGGTTTAACCCACAGCGCCACACAGATGCCCCTTGAAAGCCCCAATCCTACTTTTTTATTGAAGGGGCTAGCCTCCCTTATTTTATTTTTCATTTTTAACATGGAGGGAACAGGGAAGCTATTTAGGGGAAACCAACAACATAAACAGCACCAGTAAATAAAAACAAAAACACCCCCCTTTTCTTTTCTGCCAGTGGGGTGGGTGCGAGGGAAGAAAAATGAAACAGCAACAAATAATGATGTTTAGGGTTGAGGGAACAGATGTGTGAAAAAGCAAAGGGACAATGGGAGACTTGAGGAGAGTTCAAGGGTGAGGAGGAGAAAATAGTAGAGACAGACAACACAGAGAGAAGGGAGGAAGGGAAGGCAGGACAAACACAGAGAATGGAGCAAACGGGGCTTTAAAGGCAGGGCAATTTCCACCCGCTCTTAACTTCTAAGCAAGCGTCTCTGTCCGGGAGAGGGAAGGGAAGTCTCAAGGCAGCTCCACGGAGGAGCCCTGCTTCTCCCGCTCATGCGACTGGAGGAACCACTGGAGGTGCTTTTTTTTGTTTTACACGGAGGCTTCCTAACAAGGAAGTTGGCTTTGTCGCGCGAGAGAGGAGAACAAGTCCATTTTCTAGGCTGTTTTTCCTCCCCGTGAGGGAAAGGAGAAAGCAGGCGAGGGAGGGAAGGGGGGAAATAGAACAGCGCGCTATCTAAAACATTTCCCTTTCCAAAAAGAAAGGGGGGCGCTTTAAAGGGAAAAGGTAAAACTGCAACAAAAATGCTCGCGCCGCTCCTGCTGTTACTGCTCCGTTGCTCCCTAAATAATTACAGTTTTCCCTCCTTGCAAAGCAAGCTAAAGCGCCCTGATGGGAGGCTGAAACAGGCAGGCGCAGAACTCTTGAGAATGACGGCTCCCTAGGACCCGCCCCCTCACTTCCGGGGCCTTCCTCTCGCCCAGCCCTGCGCTTGCAGGCAGAGCTCCATAGCAACGGAGGCCTGCTGAAGCGCCGCCGCCCTTTGAGCCTTCCCAGCGGAGCCATGGTGAGGGAAGGGGGAGCTTATGCTGTGATGGGGTTCAGGGGAGAGGCGGCGATCTTGCCGGGTTTGTATATGTAGGGAGAAAGCGGGGGAGCCAAGGTAGATCTGGAGATTTCAAGGAGAAGGGCCGCGGCAGGCCTTCTGCCCCCAATGGCATCTCCAGCGAGGGTTGGGAGAGGCTCCTGTCAGAAACCTTGGAGAGCCGCTGCCAATCAGTGCAGGTAACATGAGCTTACTTGGATCCATGGTCTGACTCGGTATCTGGGTTCCTATATAGGGGAAAGGCCTGAGCTCTCTGGTACAGCATCAGCTTAGCATGCAAAAGGCTCTAGGTTCAGCCTCTGGCATCTCCAGGTGGGGTCCCCCGCCTGGAAACCAGGGGTGGGGGGTGGGGGTGAACCACACTGTATTAGATGGAGCAGTGGCCTGTGACCTGATGTAGAGGGAAGAACAGGGCAGGTAGGTCTTCTTGAGCTCAACTGTTAGGATGGCGGAGTGCAAACAATGGGGGGGGGGTGTTTCTCCAGCTTTTTAATAGTTGCGTAGAAGGACAAAAAAAACAACACTTTAAAGCCAAATAAGGCTTTCAACATGGCTTGCAGATAACAACCATAAGACAGTTCCTGCTCTGAGGCTCACTGAAAAGGAAGAGGGATTGGGAGGGAAAACGAAAAAACAATTGACATAATTGTTTTGATACTTGCTGTTTTTATTGCCTTTAACTTGTAAGCTACTTTGGGACTTCAGATATAAGAGATAGATAACACCCACACCCACAAATCTTTCCTGTAAACTGGATTAGACTTTTACAGTTATTAAAAAGGTAAAGGGACCCCTTACGATTAGGTCCAGTCGTGGCCGACTCTGGGGTTGCAGCGCTCATCTTGCTTTATTGGCTGAGGGAGCCGGCGTACAGCTTGCAGGTCATGTGGCAAACCAGAGCAGCACACGGAAACGCCATTTACCTTCCTGCCGGAGTGGTACCTATTTATCTACTTGCACTTTGACGTGCTTTCGAACTGCTAGGTTGGCAGGAGCAGGGACCCTGCTAGGTTGGCAGAGCAGCTCACCCCGTCACGGCGATTTGAACCGCCAACCTTCTGATCGGCAAGTCCTAGGCTCTGTGGTTTAACCCACAGCGCCACCCGCGTCCCCTTTTACAGTTATTACCATTGCTTTATAACGGGCTTCCTCAAACTAGGCCCTCCATATGTTTTTTGGCCTACAACTCCCAGGATCCCTAGCTAGCAGGACCAGTGGTCAGGGATGATGGGAATTGTAGTCTCAAAACATCTGGAGGGCCGAGTTTGAGGAAGCCTGCTTTATAATGTGCTGGCACTTTTCTCAGTTGATGTTCAGTCTCTCAGAAAATTATAAATAAGAACAGTGCCATATTATAATTATAACCTGGACCTGATGGATTACTTATTATAGGACTACTGTCTCCCAAATCTTGCGGAACCGTTGCTTAATTTGGGGGGGGGGCGGGTTCCATCCTTCTATCTATGAGTCATGTAATTTTTTTGCATCCAGGAGCAAATATTTGTGTAAGCAGGTATGCTGGCTCTTGCCTGGGTAAATCAACCAAAGAGCTTGAGTTTAACTTGGATTTTAAGGAGGCAGCCCATCTGGATTCTTATCAACTTGTGAGTGCGGCTTTCTGCTCTCAGTATTGCTGCTATCAGGGTGTTGGTAGCAGGAAACCCCACATGAGCAGACTACTATATGTGGGAGTAGAGGATGCTGCAGGTGGCTTTCTTAATGCTGGGTTTTAAAGAAAAATATAGATGGCATTTTAAGCCTCCATCTTACCATCTACCCTTTAACATAGCACCTCTCTTGCTTCACTAAGAGCATGTCCCTTCCGACTTGCCCCATTAATGCAAAGCAGCCTCGTTCCCTAGTGCCTTCAGCATGATGCCATAATTCCAGATGCCACTCTGCAACAGGGCTCCCTCCACAAGTGCTCCTTTGCTGTTAATTCAGTAGCTAGTTCAATGGGCTGGATCCAATGTTAGAGCAGACCCGATGAAATTAATGGTTAGCACTAACTTTATTAATTTCAGTAGGTCTGCTCTGATTTTGATTTAGTGGGATACTATCCCATGTTCTGGGACGCGGGTGGCGCTGTGGGTAAAACCTCAGTGCCTAGGGCTTGCCGATCGCATGGTCAGCGGTTCGAATCCCCGCGGCGGGGTGAGCTCCCATCTTTCGGTCCCAGCTCCTGCCCACCTAGCAGTTCGAAAGCACCCCTAAGTGCAAGTATATATTGGCTGCTGCCAAATGTGAGCTAGTGCTCACATTTTGTTAAAGTGATTTTGCTTCTTTTGCAGGCAGAGGTAGAAGAAACTTTAAAGAGGATCCAGTCACATAAAGGAGTTATTGGAACTATTGTCGTAAATGCAGAAGGTAAAGGTCTGCCTTTTGGGTGTTCTCAGAAGTACACTCAATGCTTTGTACAAAAAGATGCTTTTTGGAATTTTTCTTTTGCTATTTGAAATCTCTTTTAAGCTAAGCTGGTTATTCTAATTTACAATTTGAATTCAAAGCTGAGGACTGGTTTCTTTTAATCTGCAGAAGTCATCAGGGTGAATAGTGTATTTGATATCAAGAGGCTGATGGGTACTTTGTGATTTGTGTGTGAGGCCTCAGCATTTTCTTCATGTTCACAAATGCTATGTTTTTTAAGACACTTTTGCCACTTTAACACAGTGGATAAAACCAGTGCTTTTTTCTGGGGGTACTAAAGGATACACAGTACCAGCACTTCCCTTTCCACCAATGTTAAAAGTGTGGCACTTACTTTAACAACTTCATGGGGGAGTACCAACACCTTTATGCACTGGATAAAATTATGTTTTTTTGAAATTGGTCGCAGCATTCCCATTTACTGGAAGTTGGGGTTTCACCCAGTATGTAACTACTCTAATGATCTCAAGTGTCTGTGACCATTTATTATTTTTGTAGCTATTTGTCTAGTTGCCCAAAATACTGAGATTCTTGAGGAAAGATTCACGTGCCTACTCCAGTAGTAGGTTTTACAGTATTTCCAGATGTCTCTACCTAATGAACATAAGGTCATACCCTCCAACATTTCTCCAATGAAAATAGGGACGTCCTATTCCATTATTATTATTATTAATAATAATAATAATAATAATTTATATACCACCCATTAAACATTAAATAACTTCATTCAGATGTCTTCTAAAGGTTATATAGTTATTTCCTTGGCTCAGGAGTTACATAACTTCATACCCTCCAACATTTCTCCGATGAAAATAGGGACATCCTAAGGAAAAGTGGGGATCAGATCAGAAACTGGGATGGCTTCTGAAAATCTTGGACTGCCCTGGAAAATATGGACACTTGGAGGGTCTGTAAGGGCATAAGAGCAACCTGCTGGATTAGGCAAATGACCCTTCTAGTCTAGCATCCTGTTCTCACAGTGGCCAACTAGATGCCTGTGAGAAGCTTGTAAGCAGGACCTGAGTACAATAGCACACACTCTGGTTGTGATTCTCAAAAACTAGCATTTAAAGGCATAATTCCTCTGGCAGTGGAGGTAAAACATACCTATTTTAGCTAGTAACCATTGGTAATAATTACTCAGTTTAAGCAGAAGTGAATATCAAGCTGCATGGAGAAGATTGTTGAAAACTCTTTTTTATAGAGTTTGCCCAAGTAGTTTTGATTACAGCCTGACAATCTTGGTCTACAACTTTTGTCTCATAGGCTACTGAAATCTCATTAAAATGCATGTAGTAGGGTCTGGCAGCTTACTTCCCAACTAGGCGTCCCTTCTTTTTTTCCCAGTCTCTGATACAGGGCAGCAAAAGGAGGGAACAGATTCCTATTTATGGTTTAATTGTCTCTCCTCACCTGTAACAGTTGCTGATTGGCTGTTCTTTCTCCAGAATAAAAATAGGTTTTTCAGAAGTGTCCTTAACCTCAGATGCAGTTTGGTCCTGATGTTGCCCTGTTTAATCCTAAAGCAGCAAATGACTTCCTTTTCAGGCATCCCAATCAGAACCACTCTCGACAACTCAACTACAGTACAATATGCAGGTCTCCTTCATCAGCTCACGATGAAAGCAAAAAGCACAGTGAGAGATATCGATCCCCAGAATGATCTGACCTTTCTCAGGATTAGATCAAAGAAACATGAAATCATGGTTGCCCCAGGTAATATATTTTGTCTTCCAAAAGAAAATATTGCTTTTACTGCTGTGTGGGTAGCTTTTGAGGTCCCTTTCATTGCTCCAATGCTGCTGTTAAGCATCAGTCTTCCTGTTTCAGTTAGGAAGATAAAAGCATAAGGGATGTGCTTGCCTTCAGATCCTATAATTGCATAAATCAGGCATGTCCAAAATCCGTTTTGGGGCCCAATCCAGCCCGCCAGTCAATTTAATCTGGCCCTCACAGCAGTATATGTCCTGGGATTAAAAAAAGCCCTCGTGCATGTTCACTTCATCATATCTGGCCCTCTTTGAAAAAAGTTTGGGCACCCCGGGCTTAAATAGAGAGGGCCCAGCATTTATCTATCATGTTGTGTGGCAAGGCCAGACTACAGCTGATTGCTGTGCCTGACTAGATGAGAAAATTGTTAGATCTGGTATAAGACTATTTCCTAGGTGTGAGGAACAACAATTTTTCCAAAGCTGGATTTGGCCAATTAGCACATAAAACTGCAGCTACTTACTGTTGGTGACAAATGACTCCCAAACCACCAACCTTACATGGGACAGATTTGCTTTTAGCTTTTAGTACTTGTGTTTGTACATCAAGATGATATTTGATAAACAATGGCTGTTATTATTTTTTGAAGTGTTTCATTTTGTCTACTAAGTGGGCACAAGCAGTGGTCTTTATTATTTTGCCCAAGATCAATCCCCCAAAATAGTTAACAATCAATATTGGGGAAAGGATTCACCAAATACAACAAAACAGTATAACTTTGAAAATATTTGGCTTATAGAACTATTTTGAAATGTATATTGTAAAAATAAGGAATTGCCGAAATAGAACAATCTGTAAGCATTTGCCATCACTTTCATTGTTTCTTATCTTTTTCCACAGATAAGGAATATCTTCTGATCGTTATCCAAAATCCTTGCGAATAGACCAACCACACCAATTTTATGGGAACTGTGCTACAATTTTAAAATAACATTTACTACAGATATACAATGTCGTAGCATACCACTAAGAAACTTTTCCAGTAACTTGTCAGGAAGTTTGCAAGCTAAAATCTCTCACGTGTGCAAATGCATTGTATTTGTAACTGAATTAATGAAAATGTGTGTCTAACTGCTTAAAGGACAATAAACCTAAATGTTAAAACATGTGTTAACATTGATTGGGACATGTGTTCTAAAATTAAATAAATCTTTTGAAATAATGAAGCACAGAGCTAAGGCTATGGCTGGAACTCTAATAAAAACAGCTCTCAAAGCCATTTTCATGTAAACAGTCAGAAGTAGGGAATGCAGAATTAAATAATGGTTGCATTTCAGCTGACGTTAAACAGGATTATTAAGTCCCTTTGATTTCAGTAGGATTGATTGTTAAACATAGGCTCAAGTTTTCCAACTTCAGATTGATTGTGCCCAAAGTAAGTGAATTCAATAATATAGTGAACTCCTTAGAATGACAGAGCACCCAGTGGGTTTTTTTCTGATAGAGCTAAACATGCTTTTCCTTATTCATTAATGTCTGCAGTTACTCTTTGTGCAGTGGCTCACAATGTTTCGGATGCCTGTATGAAATAAACGTTTATCAGTAGTTTACAGGTAGAAATGAAATGCAAAACAAACTACTGGAAATATGACAGGGACCACGAGTTCTGAACCAAGGCTGCAAGCCTGTTGCATTGAACTCAGTGGGGCTTACTTCCAGCAGTACTCAAGCAGGTTCAGGCTGCGTGACGTCTGAACCTAGTGAGGGAATTATTTCAAAGGAATGTATGGAGTACTGTACTGCTGAAGCAGGAGGGAAACAAAGGACTCGGGCACAGTGAAGATCTCTTAAGCAGAAGTGCTTGAAGAGGGCGATTCTGTTTCATCACAGAGATGTGCAGCAAGACAGAATGTGATCTCTTTGCAGGCATTCACTTAGCAAAGCAGTATGTTTTAAGATAATATTGAGGTATGCTATTTCTGTGGCGGGCTTCATTGAACTGAAAGGTGGGGACTGTTAAATGCTTAGTAACTTCTTAGGGAAGTTTTTAATGTTTGATGTTTTATTGTGTTTTTAATATTCTGTTGGGAGCCACCCAAAGTAGCTAGGGAAACAGCCAGATGGGTGGGGTATTATTATTATTATTATTACCAAACTTAGGAAATCTCTAAAACTTCCTTGAAGTTTCTATTTCCATCACTTAATAAATATTTCATTTCTAGTAATCTAAACATTTCAATAACATTTCAGCATTCATAAAAAATGTGTTTGCATTTTGATTTAGAAAAAAGTCAACTTCTAACTTTGAATTCATTCAGTTAATTTGTGGAACATTAAAATGCATGACCTAGATGTGTGTTGCAGCATAAGTCCAATTAAGCATAAGTCTTACAAAATGTGATTGTCATAACAAAGCATTAGAAAGGGAAAAAACAATAATTCAGATCTAATTCACAGTCAAATGGTCTCAAGGCTTAGCTGATGATTTAAAAAATTTAAACTCACTTTACAAAAAGAAAAAAATCCCGCTTAGTAAAAGCTCTTAATTCCACAAACACACACCAAAAGCTTCTTGCAACAAGAAGCATCCTATTGAACATGCCACATTTTTAGGATGTAAACATGCTGCGGTTTTTATGTATCATATTTCTGCTAGGTAGCAAAAAAAATTAAATTATTTTCCAGAAACAATTTTGATGCAGATACATGTAATGACATCTCGGGGTCATATAAAATGGACAGCATAATATACTAACATCTTCCACACCAATCCAATACTTCGTAAGATGAAAGTTGCAGTCCTATGAACTGAGAGTAAACCCCATTGCATACACTTACCTTTGAGTAAGCATGCATAGGATTGTGCTTTAACACTCTGAACATGTACGTAGAATAAGTTCCAGTTCAATATTGTCCATACTTACTCTTGTTGAACAAACTGCTGCAAATTCTACAAAGAGGAGCTAAATCCAGCTCCTTGCTTCCTCTCTGGAACATCTGATCTTTTTAAAGAAATGGGATTTATTGTATTTTTCCATGTATAAGACGACCCCATGTGTAAGACGCCCCGGTTTTTTGAACCAAAAATTAAGAAATTGCCATATTTTCCCATGTATAACATGCCCCCTTGTATAACTCAAAATTAAGAAAATAGGGGGAAATTGCCAAGACTTGTTAAGCTGGGGGGGGGGGGGTTGCCCAGAGTGGTTGAGCATTTTTTGGGGGGGGGGATTGCCCACAGTTGCATAGCTTTTTCACGTTCCCAATCACCATTGACAATCTCCTGCTCGCGGCTACAACCAATCGCCCCCCCTTTCAACTACCGGTGTATAAGACGACCCCCAGTTTTAAACATGTCCTTTATTTTGCTTGACCGAAGGTGGCAACCCTACCCATGGGATATGGATCCAAATTAGAGTCTTCCCCCCTCCCTCGTCTTATTTGATGTTCAGGTGCTTTGGGCACAAAGCTGACCTTTGGTTAAGTGTGGCCGAAAACCTCGTGTGCAGATTGCTAGCTTCTGACTGCCCCTGCAAGAAGTGACTTGGAGAGTGTAATTGCTCTCCTGCTAGCTATAAAGGTAAAGAGACTCCTGACATTTAAGTCCAATCGTGAACGACTCTGGGGTTGCAGCGCTCACCTCGCTTTACAGGCTGAGGGAGCCGGCGTTTGTCCGCTCCGCAGACAGTTTTTCCGGGTCATGTGGCCAGCATGACAAAGCCGCTTCTGGCGAACCAGAGCAGCGCACAAAAACGCCATTTACCTTCCCGCCAGAGCAGTACCTATTTATCTACTTGCACTTTTTGATGTACTTCCAAATTGCTAGGTTGGCAGGAGCAGGGACCGAGCAACGGGAGCTCACCCCGTTGCAGGGATTTGAACCGCCAACCTTTTGATCGGCAAGCCCAAGGCTCAGTGGTTTAGACCACAGCGCCACCTGCATCCCATCCTGCTAGCTATAGTGGACAGGAATTCTGTCTCTGCTGATTCTAGGGTTGGGGTGGAGAGGCACTAGGAATCACATTGGGAGCTCCGTCCTGTTGATAGTGTTTCTCCCAACTTATCGGCAGGAGAATCAGCTGCAGCTGCTTAATCAACACAAGCTATTGTGTGTCTGCCCTTCGTTAAGAGGGCACAATCTGCAAAACCAGTCAAGCTCCCTCATCGTACTACAGGCCCCCATGGCTTACTATATGTCTTCCCAGCTTGCCCCATACCAGATTTGGGGGAGAGGCATTAAGTAAAGAAATAAATAAATAGGTAATTAAAAGTACCGTATTTTTCCGTGTATGAGACAAGGTTTTTTCACCCCAAAACAAAGCCCCCCAAAAGCGGGGCATCTTATACACGGATAGTGCCTTGGCGGGATGGGTGATTGCTTTTAGCCACGATCGGGAGAGTTTCAGTGGTGATTGGGTGGGTGATTGATGACTGCGGCAAGGTCCGCTGTCTGTTGGCTGCTGCTGCGTCAATCAGAAGGGTGACTGGCGGCTGCTGGCTCAGAGCGGGCAGTCAATAGATATTTTTAGTGGCGCATATGACTTTTAGCGCCGCTCCGGCGGGGTAGCAATTTTTGGCAACCTCCCCCCCCCCCCCAAAAAAGCTCAAGCACTCTGGGCTGTCCTCTGCTAAAAAACCCCTCAACAATTCTGGCAATCTTCCCCCATTTTCTGAATTTTGAGTCTCCCAAAATAGGGCGTTGTCTTATACATGGGGGCATCTAATACACGGAAAAATATGGTAATCCAAGAAAAAAAACGGGGAGGGAAGGGTGAGGTTCTAGAAAGGGAAAGGTGGCTGGGTTATTAGGGAACTCAGCCAAAACCTGACCAAAACAAGAGGGCAGTCTGGTCTGGAGGGTGAGATGTCTCTTCCCACTAAGTGAGGTCAGAAGATTAGAACCTACCTGCCAGAGCTAGTGGGAGGAACTATTCCAAAGTATGGAATGCCCTTGGAACCACAGGTGAATAGCTGTGTTTGATACTGAGGTTCACTAATATGGGTTGAAACTTACACTTTGTTCAAACATAGGCATTGAAAGGATGGAAAAATACTTAATTTCCCTTGTGCCACTCTTTAAACACACCCTAAAGGTTAACAGGTAACTATTTATTATTTCATAAGGTTTTTAAAATGTATTTGCACCCACACATATGCTTTATTCCATGCAAGATGGGAAAGAAACTTGTCTTTGTCTTGAAAAGATTAATAATCAAAATGACAAATGCAGGAAAGGCAGGAAACATGTTCTACCAAGGGATAATATAGCAAAATATTCAGTTTGAGGCTAAGGGATATGCCAGAGAATTGTTTTTACTGCAAAAGACGAGGTTTGTCCTTGATCACTGTTCCCAAATATGTCAAAAGGTTAAACTTTCAAACCATTTCAATATAAATGTTTTTCTTCCCCCTCCTGTTTGCACGGAGTAAGTTTAATAGGATTTTTCTATAGGGACATTCAAAGATCTTGGATACAATTAGGTCAATGGAAACTATTAAATTTAATGTAATCAAAAGTTACAGCGATTATTAAGGAAATATCAACTAGCCTTTCATCGCAAGTCGTCTTTGGGCAGAGCATATCTGAGAGCTGTTTTAGGACTGTAAAGCTTGAAACTTGATTGCATTATGCAATGTATTTTAATTTATTTGTTTAATACATTCTTTCATGATTTGTCTCAAAGAACTTCCAACTGTTTTCTTGCACCCATGGAACTGACCCAACAACAAATTACAAACAGCTTTTGTGATTTCCACAAAATGTAAAGTTTTGTTCCTATTATTTATTTGCGTAGACTGTTGGAGCAGGGGGGAAATTTGTTGGTCTTAATTGATACAATAATGGTTTGGTCTTGGGGGATCTGAGTTCAGTTTCTTCGGGGGGGGGGGGATAAGAAAGGTGGGACATTGCCAGGTTGAGAAGCTTATGAACTTAATACACAGGAGTACTGCAACTGACTTCATAAGACAAAATTCTCACTTTGCTTTAGAAATTGTAAAAGCATCTCAGTTGTACTTTGCGACTTCAGTTCACAGTTATGCCTCACTGTACTTTCTTTAAAAGGCAACTTAACCCTGATAACTGGGAGCCAGGATACTGCATGCTCTATACCAGGGGTTGGCAAGGCTTAAGCAGACTCTGCCATTTCATTCCCCCGGAGATCTCTCTGCAGGCCGGATTGCGCACGTCTGCACGTGCGTTCAGTGCAGAGGAGACGTGCGCGCATGCGCAGACACTATTTCCGGTGCGGAGGAGGCGCCTTCCTGCAGCCAATAGGAAGCCCCGCCAGCTCCGCAGAAATGAGTCCCCGAACCGTGCTGCGCCAGTTTAGTGCAGCGCATGGGGACTTGCCGAGCAGGTGGCAGTGTTCAGTGGTAGCTTGGGGGCCGGTAAACGACCCCCGTGGGCTGTATCCGGCCCCCAGACCTTAGGTTGCTGATCTCTGCTCTATACCCACTCACAGTAAGTGCCTCCGCTCAATTTTCTGTAATCTCCCCTGCCACAGTCCAGTCCATTCAGCAGGGTTCCCTGACTTTTGGGAGATACAGCGGGGGGAGGGCGAGGCTTATTGATCTGTGAGGGAGAGGATCCGGGAATATCACCTTTCTATTATTTTATTGTTTATTAAATTGGTTGGTCACTTTATCTTGCCCTGGGCAACCCAAAGCAACTCACAACCCCTCCACACACCCACTTTCACGGGAACTCTGGATCCAGCCCAACATATATACTGTACATAGTTTTGGATGTAGTGTGTAGTATGTATCACACACAAACATAATAATAGACAGCATATAAACTAATGACAGCTATTACAAAAATAAACAACAGAACTGTAAGGTTCCTGCATATAATATAATAAGTCATCCATGCAAACTATAATGCCTTTTTAATGTTTATCTTTTGTTTCTAGATTAATGAGATAATTTTTTTAAAGTTTTTCCTTTTGAATTTAAATTTTAAAATGTTAGGTTTCAATTGTAAAATTAAGTGGTTTTATAGAAAATAATAATAAACAGTAAATTATGGATTTTCTTTAATGTTCACAGTTTGTGAATTTATGATGGATATTTTAAAGACAGTATCTCTTACGTGCCCATTTTGAAATGCAATTCTAAATACATGATTTAGTGATAAGTACTATTGAACTTGATGTTAAATTTGTTTTACGATCGTAATCTTTCAATCAAAAAAGCAAAGGACCTTAATGTGTTCCGAAAACATTATCCAAAAGAGTTTATGCCCATGATTTTACAGTATATCCATCCTCTTTTGAAATCAATGGGATGTGGAAGTGCTTAACTCAACCTGGAACATACCCAGATATTTTTAAATAATGTTTTAGTGATGCGGGGAAGTATTGAAACTTGTAAAAAAAATTGATGCAGCCTTAAATTTTGTTGGATTTAACGGGTGTCATAAAGATACTCCGTTCCAAATTTCATGCCCATAAAAAAGGATGTTGAATCATGCACTACGAAATCAACAGTCACAAAGCTTGGCATGAGATCAGAAACTCTGCTATTTCAGCAGTATTTTTAATTTCCTTTCTTGTCCTCCATATATTTCTCCTACAAGCTTCTGTTAACTGAAACCTGCTCATTATACATTTCTGCCAATAATTTCTGCAACCAGATTCCTGTTTCCATTCTACTGTTTGGTGTTAACTTTACAAACCTTTTGGAAAAATCATTGTGTTTTATAGGGATTATCCAATTATTCAGTGTAGGTCTAATACAATATGCTGAAAACCAGCCATCAATCAGCCAACCACAAGACCTACTTTTAAGTCCAGCAATCTTATGCCACTATATCTGCCCATTGGTTTTCTGCTTTGTTTAATCCAGTTAGCAATTATTTTTGGCTCCTGTCCTCAAAATTTCTATTTGTGTTTATTCTGAAAGATATACTAAACTATTTGCTAAGGCTTTTTTTCTTTTTCTTTTTTAGTTTAAGGCATCTTCAGGAACAGATCAGACAATTCATGTAGAACAGGACTGTCAACAACTGATACCCAGACTTTGATTTGTGATCCTTTTAAACTGGAGAGCCTGGTTTATCACGAATGCAAAGTATGTGCTGTACTACTCCTTGTCTGAAGCAGTGAGTTTCCCATTGGGGGGAATCTCTGGATGAGGAATTCTGACCTGGACCTGATGGGATGGGTGGACCAAATCTTAAGCCATTGAGAATCTTTCCGTTTGCCTATAGGGTCTGTCTCCCACACCAATTTCAAAGTAGCGAAGGAAGAGAACCAAAATTGTAACATTAACAAATACAGGCAATTAGCATTTTGTCTGTGTTCAAAGCACATGCAACTCTGCACGCCGACATCGCCAAGAACCTGGAAGTAGCAGGGAAAAAGGGCAGGGTGGGCAGGCTTATACATGCACCTCCATCATACATGATGACCCGGAACACAATCCCCACACAAATCGTGGGTTGCCTGTACAGTGGTACCTCGAGTTAAGTACTTAATTCGTTCCGGAGGTCTGTTCTTAACCTGAAACTGTTCTTAACCTGTAGCATCACTTTAGCTAATGGGGCCTCCTGCTGCCGTCGCGCCGCCGGAGCACAGTTTCTGTTCTCATCCTGAAGCAACGTTCTTAACCCAAGGTACTATTTCTGGGTTAGCGGAGTCTGTAACCTGAAGCATATGTAATCCGAGGTACCACTGTATATCTGAAATATACTCGGAGTCCTGTAGTAATTTCATGCTCTTTATTGTAGCTTGTAAAACAGTGATTGAATTGCCCCCAAACCTCAGGCTTTTATATACATTATTTACACAATGAGTCCCGTCTGATTGGCTGATTCTGCTCCTGTCCTGGAGCCTGATTGGTCTTTTCCTGCAGGCCAATTAGTTGTTGCATTCTACGATCCTACCAGACTAATAGGCTGATTAATTTCCTCCTGGAGCCTGACTGGTCTTTTCCTGCAAGCCAATAAGTTGTTGCATTCTAGGATCCTACTTGCCTATTGTTCTAGGATCCAAGCTGAAATATACTCAGAGTCGCAAAGTGATTTCATGCTCTTTATTCAGCTCATAGTGGTGAGGAGGAATGAATAAAAGTCCCCTCAAAGTATCTGCTTTATATACATTATTTACACAATGGGCTGCACATGATTGGCTAATTCTGGAATTCTACTGTAAGCCAATCAGGTTGTGGATTCACTTATATCTGGAGCATGATTGGGTGGTTCCTGCCAACCAATCATACTGCTGCATTGTTCTAGGACCAATCAGACTGCTGCATTCTGAATCCTATTGTTCTAGGACCAATCAGACTGCTGCAGTTTGGATCCTATTCAACTCAGTACATAACACCCCTCCCCTCTAAGTTCCAGTCCTGCCCGGGAGGTCGCATTCATAGTCCTCAAGGTATGCCGGCGGCCTACGTGTGCGTTGCGGCCTGTGGTGTTCCCTGGTCCGGGGTTCAGGTTCTGGCTCGTGTTCCAAGGATGCTGGCTGTGATGGGCCTGTTTGGTCTGGCGCAACCGGCTCGCTCAGTTGTGGTTCTGGTTCCGGTGTCCTTTCGGCCTCGCGGGTCCTCTCTGTATTTACTGATTCTGCCTCTCCTGCTGGCCCCTCCTGCTCTATGGGCCTCACTGCCCCGCTGTTCCCTTGGGACTCCTCTGACCTGTCCTCCTCCTGGTTTTCTCCCGGGAATCGTCGCCGTATCTGGTCGCAGTGGCGGCGCCAGCATTGCCCCCCATCCGTTAGCACCTCGTACGACACAGGGCCAGTGACCCTGGTGACTGTGGCGGGTACCCATGCTGGGCCTGCCCCAAAATTCTTTGCGTACACTGGGTCCTGGGCCTCGAAGGTCCGGGGTTCCTGCCTTCCCCACCACTACCTCATCCTGAGCTCTATCGGGGTGAAGGCGGTCCAATCTGATTGCAAGGCGCCGACCCATTAGTAGTTCAGCGGGGCTCCGGCCAGTCGTTGAGCTGGGGGTGCTGTGCTGTGCTAGGAGGAATGTGGCAAGGCGGTACTCCCAATCCCCTTGCGTCATGCGGCGAAGGGTGTCCTTGGTGGTCCGCACCATGCGTTCTGCTTGGCCATTGGTGGCAGGGTGGAATGGCGCCGAACGGATGTGGCGGATGGCGTTCTGCGCTGTGAAGGTTTGGAATTCTCCTGACGTAAATGCAGTCCCGTTGTCTGAGACGAGAGTGTCAGGGAGCCCGTGGGTTGCAAACAGCCTGCGTAGTACCCGGATGGCTGCGGATGTAGAAGTGGACGGTACCAGTGCGACTTCCAGCCATTTGGTGTAGGAGTCCACCACTATGAAGAATGTTTTCCCCTGAAAGGGGCCAGCGAAGTCCACATGCAGGCGTGACCATGGTGCTCGGGCGGACTCCCAGGACTGGACTGGGGCCCTTGGGGGATCTGGGCGGGATTCTTGGCAGGCCTGGCAGTGTTTGACCCAGGCCTCTATCTCTCCGTCGATCCCCGGCCACCACACATAACTCCTGGCAAGGGCCTTCATTCTTACTACCCCTGGGTGCGTCTCGTGTAGGGCTGTGAGGACCCTTTTGCGGAGGGGCTGGGGAACAACAACCCTGCTTCCCCATAACAGGCACCCTTTGTGGGCCGACAGTTCATGTTTGTGGGTTGTGTAGCCAGCGAATTCTGGCCCAGGGCTGCTGCTGGGCCATCCCCTCCACACCCAGTCCAGGACCCGGGAGATGACCCTATCTTTCTTGGAATGGTGTGCAACTTC